TTAAGTTATTGCCTTTTGATATTTTTCATGCTTATTTTTATCCGGAGCGTAACTTTGGTATGTTTATGAGATATAAACGTGAATACATCTTTTTTCTGAAGGACTGCAATTCACAGAAATGATACTCATGGTATTCATAATTATCTCTGAGTTATTGCCCTTCGTGATCTTTTTTATGACTGAGGGAGCAACTTGAAACTTTATAGGTGGATTGATCATTAAGATGGAGTGCAGCTCGCAAGAATAATAACTCTTATTTCTGTAATTGTTTTAGTAATTAATTAAGTAAATTTTTCCTAGAGCATAAAAGTGCATGTATTTGAGATATCACCTTAAAGCTTCATATGTGAATGGAACTTATTCAGGAGGAGTGCTTTGCAAAGATAGAATAACTCTACAGTACCATTATACTTTCTATAAATGTTGCTTTTTGTTTGTTATACTCAAATCGTATTTTGAATATCAATTTGAAACATACCAGGGAGATGTATCTAATTTAAGAGGTAGTTGAACTTTTCACAAGATTAATAACTATAATAATCATCTTTTAAGTTATTTCTCTTTCGTTATTTTAATGCTAATATTTGTCCAGAGCATTAGCCAAAAATACTTTTTGTAATTGGAGCTTAAATCTCTGTTATTTTTCTTGCATAATTTTTGTCCAGAATTCATAAAGCTTTATAGTTATTTATTCGGAATGTTATTAGAGTATTGGTCATTGTAAACAGTTAACAAGAATGACAACTCATCACATGATTTATTTAATATTGTCTTTTGTTATTGTTTCGTGCTTTCATGTTATTTTTAGCTTGCACAGCCGCAAGCTATTGTTTTGAAAAAGTTGTTCCGGTTAGGTGGTTTCCTGCTTACATTTGTTAGTGCATGATGGAACGGAAAACCAGTCTAGGTTTCCGCTGCATTCGTGGCAATTCGGGCGATTCCGTCATACTGCGGAATGAGACGAAGTAATATTACGGAAAGTTATTTTTAGTTACTTCGGTAATCCCAGTTTGTTTCTTATTTTTACTTGATTTATCGGTAGAAGGAAGAAATTAATTATAAACGAAAATGTTCCGTTTCAATTCGTTTTCAAGAGGTAAAGTTAGTTTCTTTTATGATTGATTTTTGTCTTTATTTGTTTCATACAATAGAGAATGGCTACTGTAGTAGTATTCCGTCTCCAAAGGACGGTCCTACTTTCCAAAAGATCGTGACCGAATCACACAGAGAATTAGTGCGAACAAGTTTAAAATTGCATAGCTCAATCACATTTGTCTGTGATCGAGTTATATTTAGATCTAATTTGTCTTATATTTAAACGCAATTCTAACGTGGAGTTAAAACTACAGGAGATAGGTAATCTAAAGATAGCCCATGCATATCATTAACCTTACCACGTGCTGATCTACAGATAGCGCATCCTGTGTTGTCGGTATATCTGTGATCAATAGACAAGTGACATAGATATTTTAGGTGAATCATAGTTGATAAATGCATATTAATTGGTACCACGTAACTAAGTCTTTTAGTGCATTCATTTGTCTATAAAGCTGCTATTTAAATGAAATTAGCAACTGCCAAAACGAATGACTCTGCTGTTTCCCTTCAGTATGATAGATAGATACTTTTATTTCCTCCACGTGGGAGAGCCAATGTTAGTATTTTTACGATTGATTATTTTCTTTATTAGTTTTATACAATAGAGAAATAGATTTCAAATCGTTTTTGACAAAAAAATATTCGTTTTTACAAAAAAAGTTGTTACTGTTATCGTCAGCATGTTCTGGTTCAGTTATAATCAGCGGACCTCTGGTCCTTCTTTTGTCCAAATTTGCACGCATAACACTGTTGGCACAAATGGGTACAGGTGCTCGTCCAGTCTTGGGGTTACCTTACCTACTCCTTTAAAAGTGAAACATATTTAAAAAAAAAATCCTAAATAAACCCTTTATGATATACAAATAATTAAAAAAATAGTGATAATAAATTGACACTCTATACCTACCTTGTTATTTACCGGTATATAATGTCAATTTATTATATTTTTTAAATATAATTATTTCTTTATCATAAAGAGTTGCTTTAGCAGTTTTTATGCCCCCATTTCGAAGAAAAGGGGGTATATTGCTTTGCACTTGTCGGTCCGTCGGTCCGTCGGTCCGTAGACCAAATGGTTTCCGAGTGATAACTAAAGAACCCTTAGGCCTAGGAACTTCAAACTTGGTATGGTGATTGGTCATGACCAGTAGATGACCCCTATTGATTTTGGGGTCAAGGGGTCAAAGGTCAAGGTCACATTGACCTTGAAAGCAAAAACGGTTTCCGATCAATAACTAAAGAACCTTAAGGCCTAGGAACTTCAAACTTGGCATGGTGATTGGTCATGACCAGTAGATGACCCCTATTGATTTTGGGGTCAAGGGGTCAAAGGTCAAGGTCACATTGACCTTGAAAGCAAAAACGGTTTCCGATCAATAACTAAAGAACCTTAAGGCCTAGGAACTTCAAACTTGGTATGGTGATTGGTCATGATCAGTAGATGACCCCTATTGATTTTGGGGTCAAGGGGTCAAAGGTCAAGGTCACATTGACCTTGAAAGCAAAAACGGTTTCCGATCAATAACTAAAGAACCTTAAGGCCTAGGAACTTCAAACTTGGTATGGTGATTGGTCATGATCAGTAGATGACCCTTATTGATTTTGGGGTCAAGGGGTCAAAGGTCAAGGTCACATTGACCTTGTAGGTAAAAACGGTTTCCAATCAATAACTAAAGAACCTTAAGACCTAGGAACTTCAAACTTGGTATGATGATTGGTTATGACCAATCAGATGACCCCTATTGATTTTGGGGTTAAGGGGTCAAAGGTCAAGGTCACATTGACCTTGTAGGTAAAAACAGTTTCCGATCAATAATGAAAGAACCCTTAGGCCTAGGGACTTCAAACTTGAGATGTCGATTGGTCATGATCAGTAGATGAATCCTATTGATTTTGGGGTCAAGGGGTCAAAGGTCAAGGTCACATTGACCTCTTAGGTAAAAACGGTTTCCGATCAATAACTAAAGAACCCTTAGGCCTAGGAACTTCAAACTTGGTATGGTGATTGGTCATGACCAGCAGATGACCCCTATTGATTTTGGGGTTAAGGAGTTAAAGGGCAAGGTCACATTGACCTTGTAGGTAAAAATGCTTTCCGATCAATAACTTAAGAACCCTTATGCCTAGGAACTTCAAACTTGGTATGGTGATTGGTCATGACCAGCAGATGACCTATTGATTTTGGGGTCAAGGGGTCAAAGGTCAAGGTCACATTGACCTTGTAGGTAAAAACGGTTTCCGATCAATAAACTAAAAACGCTTAGGCCTAGGAACTTCAACCTTTGTGTGATGATTGGTCATGACCAGCAGAAGACCCCTATTGAGTTTTAGGTGAAGGGGTCAAAGGTCAAGGTCACATTGACCTTTTAAGTAAAAACGGTTTCTGATCAATTTCTCAAGAACACTTAGGCCTAGGAACTTCAAACTTGGTATGGTGATTTGTCATGACCAGCAGATTACTCCTATTGATTTTGGGATTAAGGGGTCAAAGGTCAAGGTCACAATGACCTTGTAAGTAAAAACGGTTTCTGATCAATAACTAAAGAACGCTTCGGCCCAAGAACTTCAAACTTGGCATGGTGATTGGTCATGACCAGCAGATGACCCCTATTGATTTTGGGGTCAAAGGTCAAGGTCACATTGACCTTGTATGTTAAAACGGTTTCCGATCAATAATAAGAGAACCCTTAGGCCTAGGAACTTCAACCAAGGCATGGTGATTGGTCATGACCAGCAGATGACCCCTATTGTTTTGGGGTCAAGGGGTCAAAGGTCAAGGTCACATTGACCTTGTAGGTAAAAACGGTTTCTGATCAATTTACTAAAAACGCCTAGGCCTAGGAACTTCAAACTTTGTATGATGATTGGTCGTGACCAGCAGATGACCCCTATTGAGTTTTGGGTCAAGAGGTCAAAGGTCAAGGTCATGACCAGTAGATACTTTATAACCCTTATTAATTGTTTGATCACTGGGTCAGAAGTCATGCATAATAACCTTATCACATGACTAATTGGCTGCTGATAGGGGGCATACATGTTTTACAAACATATCTTGTTTTTTTTTTAAAAATCATTTTTAAAGGGATGGGATGATGGCACAACGGGGCAAGCCTTTCCTTTTAAAATGAGTATTTATTATGAGGTTGTAACGCTAATTGTTTAACAGATATAAGCTTGAAACTCCATGGCATAGACTAGCATTGTAATTTTTATTTCCTTTTGGTGTGCAATTTAATCTTAGCGATTGTTTAAGGGACTATCCTCTTTATAATTTTTCTCCTGTACGACGGGGAATTTGACATTCTATGACTTCTAGCATTACTATTTTTACACAAATTTACAACCCATGCCAAAGAGTTGCATATTTTAGTCAAACCGACAATGAACAATTTGACGGTTCAAGTTTGAGCATAGTCGCTTAATCATATGTCTTAAAAAGTAAGTCTCAGTTAAGAAAATATCTCTAAAACTATTAAAAGCTAAAAATCTCTAAAATATTTAAAGCTAAATTATCGGAGCTTTTCGCACACTTATTCTATTTTATTTCACTTTTTGTTCATATTTCATTCAATTTTTTTTTGTTTTCATGTCCTTTCTGTATTCTCTAATAAGAATTGTTTATAAATAACTGACTGGTCTATATAAGATTGTGTTAATTAGGTGGTAAACTTATCAGATAATTAAACACAGCGTACTGTGTTTATAACAATCATAATTTCATGGAAACTTATCAGTTAATTGTTTTAAAATTAATTAATTTAATTAAAATCTGGACTTACTTAACGCTAAAACAGTCGAGAGGGTCTTGCGTTCTAGTTTCTGGTCACCGATGTCAAACCATTTAATGAAACATGAAACAAGTTATATATTCTAATATTCATAATTAAATACAAGACGCCCAAAATGATTGTATCATATATTTCATTTTCCAATAAGAAATATTTGTCACATCAAGGCAATGGTTCATAAAGCGTGTCCGCAGGTGGTATAACATCTGCGTTACAGAGCTCGTTCACACAGCAGAAGGTACAGCGTCTGTCGCTCGTGAGCGTCCTATTGACGTCATTCAACATACATTCCTCTCTATTACGTGTATGTGCCCACCAGTTTGTATCACACTCATGTTGTGTCCCACATCTGATATAACATAACAATAGAAGTACAAGTAAAATGGTTTCCTGCGGGGAACATTTTTAATAATATAAAGATATTTCATTTAACTATTTTCAACATTGTTTCGGTGGATAAATAAACGTTTTTATCAGGATTATAGTTGACAATAATCGATCAATATAGAAGAAGGTCTTTGGAAACTAGTGACCGTTGAAGACCTGAGACCGGAGAAGGTCGAACATATAACAATTATTTCTTTTCAAGAAAATGATAAAATACCACTTTCTGAATAAATCCGAGCAAAAAAATAAAAAGTAAACACATAAGTTTACGCAGAAAATATCTCTATTTGGTATGGCAGATGCCACTACGAATATTTTAATTTTGTAGATTTTCAGTATAAACAACTTATTGTTTGTAAAATTTGAGATAGATATTAAAGAAACATTGATAATTTTCAAACACATCATTCAAGCTTTTCAACCTTAAACGGTAAAATAATTATAGAAAATTAGAAATACCACGTAATAGTTTTTTTGTTGTTAATAAGGTGTAATTCGGACAATTCCCTAGAGGTAAATCCGTAACGTACCGGCTAACGGTATTTAGCTAGGTTTTCGAAAAGGTCAATTTACCATCATGTGCGGTTTACAGATCACATGCTCCTCCATGTTCCGAAAACAGGTCACGTGCTCCTCCATGCCTCAAAAGTTAAACGCGTACCAATACCCTGCGGTCTTCAGACCGCAGGAATAATAATAATGGTCTCATTATATGTATACTATTAGTGACATATCATCCATTGAAAATCATTCATTAGGTTTGTGTAGGATATTCACGAGGTTACATGTAAATACAATTTGTCTTGCGTGAAGGTAAATGATTGTCTTCTTTACGTGAAACAGATATTTTTAACATGGATTTCCGGTTAGAGGCACTTTTTAAAAATATTTCTTAACATTCAAACATAAAACATTAGACTGCAATTATCAATACTCAATACTGTATTTCAATAAATGATCTAAACTGTGGATCTATTTTAATCTTTATTTTTAAAAAAATCTTACGCACAGTTTAAGATAAATTATTTAAAACAAACTGAACGTTCCTTCTATCAATTATTCTCGTGCCATCAGCCAAGCTTGTGAGTTCGTTGACACAGTAAGGTTCATGACAATCTGTCTGCTTTATTTTGGTACACAATGTTCCCTGATGGTCAATGTCACATTGATAGCACTTGAATACTTAAATATATATGTTTATGATTCAACTTTAAAGTCTAATGTAGCTATCAGACTATAACCTCGTCCTATCCTCTTGAATCTGATTCTTATTGACATTCAAAGGTGTTTAAAATGGAATACTGACTGATATACCAGGAACAACGGCAGAACATTATTAAATTATTCATTTATAGTGTATATGTGTTATGGGACGAAAATGTCCATTTACCGCTATACATTGTATATATAATGAAATATTTCTATTTTAACCTTAGGACAAACTGTTACTTTCTTCTGGGACAGAAAGATCTTCCGTCCCAGCTTTCTTCAATTACTTAAAATTTTCACAAGTACTAGTAATTCATTATAGGACTGTATTACTTGCTGTCTATAGACCTTTATACGACGCGGTCCGTTGCTAATGATAAATCGATCGGAAGTAGTATTTTCTCGAGTATGCGCAATCTGCGTAACGAAACAAAAAAAGCATCGCCCTACATGGAAATATTGTAGAATTTTGTTGACAATTCCGAGTTAGTTTTAGGTAAAAAGTAGAAAATTATATGAAATAGCTCTAATTTTTTATTATAAAAGATGCCTTTAAAGCTTTGTGGCCAATTTTAATGCATTTGAGTTAACAGTTTACTTGATTTTATCATTTATCCGATTGATGCCAAACAAAAAAGTTATTAGTCACATAAATATATTTCCATGATTTTTCAAAATATTGAGAAATTACGATGGGTAGTGAAATAACACACTTTTTGTTATCCGGTTCCTCGTTACACATGTAAATGCACGTCACACTATTTGTCACCTCAAAATCCATAAAAATTCATGCGATTGGTATACATCTTTAATATTTGAAATCGGGATAGTGTGAAAACTAATTGCTGAAAAAATCAAGAAGAAAAATTATTTAGAGGTCTGGCTGATGATTTGAAAGTATGTTCAGCATGAGATGTGTATGAACATATTAATAATATATGACAATATGCTTTGTTTCAAGGTCAAAATTTCCTGTTAATAGTATTATGAGCGTAGATCACATTTGTACACAAATTTCGACTAAAAAAACCCAAACACATATTGATGACTTTTTTAAACGAAAGGCATAAATGAAATTAATGAAACTGTAATACATATATAATATTGTACAGTTTTTGTTTTTATAAAAATATGTTATTATACCTATGACTTGTAATATAAAAAGTCTCGAATTTTCCAGAATTCTATTGAGAGACCACTTTATTAAGAGACCACTTTTTGGCAGTCCCTTGAGTGGTCTCTTAATACATAGTCGACTGTATGTAAAAGTTACTAATATTACGATTTTCAAACTTTTGCGTGATTAACTATGCCATGGTACTTAAAGTTACATTAAATAAATATGCAAAAATATTTTGCCGTCGCCCTAAAAAAACAAGCATTATACAGTTTCATAAACCTTTTTAACAGTTATGTTGTAAATGTAATCAAATATTGTTCATAAATTAGGATTTTAAACGGAAAACCCCACGGTAACACTAAAGTTCGTATACAAATTTTAACATGCAAATGAAGACAATAATCAGCTCGTGTATGCGCTACATCACATTGTTATAGTTGCAATCCGGAACACAGTAAATATGAGATTTTCTTGTGCAAACACACATTAACCGTTTTAGCTTCACGGTGCACTAGGCCTGTGGTTCAGAAAAAGTAATCATCTCATAATAAGGATTAAATTTGTATGAAAACATCCGTTACAATGCGGAAATATACCGTTAGATTAGAACTGCTGCACATAGTCATGTTTGTTTATTTAATATTGATGTATGGATGAACCGAGGGCGGAGTTTCTCATGCAAACAGAAATAATTATTATTGTACTTCCGATTTCGCCACTATGAGGTTGCCAATTTTTTATGCTTATAAATCTTATTTTGGTTGTCTTGTCACCAAAATAAAATCTGGAGTCGATTTGAAACGCAATTTATTAATAAAATGTCGCCATTTCTGTTTTAATGAAATTTATTTAATGTAGCTTTAACCCTCCCGGTTGAATGGTTGGAAATAAACACAGTCACGTGTCAATCTGTTTGGCACTTACCGCCTTGCCAATCCACTTATTCAAAGGAAGTGTACAATACAGATTGTGTAGTTTTATGTAATACGAATACTTTGTGTATTCGTATTCGTTTTATTATGTAATACATGGGAAGTAAAATATTTTGTCTTTAACACCCTTGCTGTTTCAATTTGAATTTCTGATAGGAAAGTCGTCTAATGATATCTTAAAAAAGGGCTTATGTTCATGCGGTTTTTTTTTTCATAAAATTATTTGTCCCTCATAGTTTCGTATGTCTGTTATCAATTTACGTTTAACGTACTTACTTCTTTAAGTCATCCCAAAATTACTGTTTCTCTGGATGACTTTACTTGAAATCACGTCTATTAAAGCCTTTAACTAAGATAAATTGTAGTCCTCGTTATTGCTTTTTTGCCCTACACAAAATGCGCATATGCGAAATGCAACATTCGTTACTATGGAAATTCGTACTATAAAAAGGTCTATACAAAGAAGACATGTTTTAATTATCTTGTTGACATGATTATCATGGATCGTGACCGTGAATTGATGGTATGACAACAATCTTGGTGTTATCTGAATGTAAATGTGAACACTAACACAGTACTAGTATACTTTACGCTCTCCATAATTTATTTATTGTATTCAATCAGTTAGAATTAAAAGTCGTGGATAAATGCAAGCTTTTCGACAGTCTTGTAAGTTCTATTCTTAATTATGGGGCAGAAGTATTTGGATATGAAGAAGCAAAGGATATTGAATTAGTTCATTGTAAATTTTTACGAAAAGTTCTTAATGTTAGGAAGTCAACAAATTTAGAGGGTCTATACGGAGAGCTTGGCCGACATCCAATGAAAATTCAAAGAAAAATTATACTTGTTAAATATTGGCTAAAGATTATAAATCTCGAAGAACATTGTTTTCTTAAACAAATGTACAACATACTTAAAATTGACGCTGACAACGAAAATTCATATAGAACTATTCTTCAGGAGATTGGGATGTCTAATTTATGGTTAAATCATACTGCTAATCAAAATAATTTCATTTCTATAAAAAACAGGATTTTGGACATATATAAACAAGACTGGTATAGAAAAATAAAAAATTCAAGTAGATTATCTTCCTATTGTATTTTCAAACATGAATTTAATCAAGACTTATATCTAAGTGTTATAAATACAAATAAATTCAGAATAGCTTTAACAAAATTTAGACTGTCAGCACATAATCTTGCCATTGAAACAGGTAGACATCAAGGAACGCCTAGGGAAGAAAGAAAGTGCCAAAAATGTACCATGAATGTAATTGAAAATGAGTTTCATTTCCTCCTTATATGTCCAAATTATTATAACTTAAGGAAACAATATCTAAAACCATATTTTTGTAGGTGGCCTACTATTAAAAAATTCGAATTACTGATGACAAGTAGAAATCCTAAAGAAATTATCAATTTATCAAAATATTTATACTTTGCATTTCAAAAAAGAGAATTACAAAATATTTAGAATAAAATAAACTGAAAATATATTACTTTTAAGAGGTTAATTTATTGTTCTATTCTGTTCAGTATTAATTGTTGTTTTGTACCATTCTTCTGTAAATTGTTAAATATTGTACAATGTTTGTAACACGTTCATCCCTTTTCATATGTAATTGAAAGTATATTGGCTATATGTATGCTCATGCTATTTTATGCCAAATAAAGATTATGTTATGTTATGTTATGTATACGTTTGAAAGTAGGCAAATTGATGTGACTTTATTTTATTCATACAAAGACAAGGTAGGTCATGCACCATCTTAAATGCTATATATTATGATAATCAGACGTAGTCAAAATCACAATATAAAAGTACACCACCAACCTAAAGTAAGAGACGTAAATTATTTGCGGACGCTGTTAATTTTGCTGAACAAAAACAAAATAAAAAAGTAAGGTGCAAATATGAATATTTACTTAAGGGACAAACCATCTTATGGGCTTTAAAATGGTCTCTAGTTCTAACAAAATATTTTTTAATCTTAGATATAAAGGCTTGTTTTAAAAGAAGATGAAAACGATTTTTAAATGAAAATCTTAAAATTATAAATTTGAAGCTATAACTACTAAAATTATGACTATTATAATACAGTAGATTTAGGCCTATAAGTATGTTATGTGAAACCAGTGTTATATAATTCACATGTACTCACGTGCAGCTCTTTTACATCCTGTGGGACGACAACTCTGCGATTCGATAGGTTTCCCTGCACAGTAGTCTCCCCCATTTACTGGTGCGGGGTGGTCGCAATTTCTGAAACGCTGCTTATTTGCTGCTGTGCAACTTCCCAAACACGGACTCCATGGCTGCCAAGGACCCCAGCCACCTGGTGCTAATTGTTATAAATCAAATGCTATGTTCAAAACATTTAGGTATACATATATATGTCAGTAAGTAGAAATGTAAATTACCTTAAGATGAAATAAAAAATTATGAAATATTCGAAAAGGTTCAATAAGACAAATAAATAATTACTTAGTACTCGTTTATTTTCATTCCAAGAAACAAAAGAAAAATATCATAATTGCATTTAGCAATAAATAACTATAAATACACCAAATACATCTAGAAATATATTTACCTGGGCACAATTCTTTTAGGCAGGTATCAGATTCTGTGGTCATACCGGAACAGTTTGCTCCCCCGAACTTTGGTGGATTATCACAGGTACGATTCCTTAGTTTGAAGCCGCTACCACATGTAGTAGAACAATCGCTCCATTCATGCCATGATCCCCATTGTCCGTCAACTTGCAATATATGGTATCAGATAAGGTGCTTCTCGTTTTCTTAAACGATTTACTCTAATTTACTTTGTTACTTCTATGCAGTTTAGACAAACACATGTACACTTCGTCTCGCAATGTAAAATATAATATCACTCTGCTTTAGTTGCAAACTTACACAATAATATTTTCTCTTAATCTCTAAATAAGCTGTCGTATTACATATTGTGTTTTTCTTTTTCTCGGGCCACAAATACTTATGGTGATCCCATTTATTCTCCCCGCTCCTCGTTCGAATGATCAGTATATGTTGGGGAATCAATCCATAATGACCTAACAAATATTTGTTTAGGTCGTCAGACCAAACAAATTATGGTAGCGAAATTTCAGACATTGATATGCTTATTTGCAAAAACCGAAAGTAGTCCGAACTCCTCGAAGTGGTTACTTCCCTTTATAAGTACAATAACGACGAAAAAATAAGGGGAGATCACTGCGTAAAGGTTGTCAAATGACAGGTGCATTACTTTTCAAGCCTTCCCGGGGAAGAAAAAATAGTTCCTGATTGGTCAAATATTTCTAACATTGTGTAATTCTTTACAGATATACATGCTTATATTAAGCTCCATGATTATTTACATCAATGTTAAATAACAGGTTTACCGTGAACAAAATATCTCGAAATTAATAAGGGTTACAAACCTTAATTTAGAATAATGTGGTTTTCTTCTGGCTATTATCCTATAACTTCCCCGTGGCCGAGGGGAAACACGCTCGTTTAGGAAACGAGATGTCTGGAGTTCAAATCCCAGTTAAGGTAACTTACGTTTTTTTGTTAGTTTTTATATTCATTGTTTAAGCCAATAAAAAACATTTATTTGAATATCTGAGTTTTGCAATTAGCATTATAGCCAATTTACTACAGTTATAACATTGGAAACAGCATTGGTGGCACAATACAAAAACAATTTAGTTTATAATCTCACTAGTGTTTTATATTAATGAATATTAATTAACAATTCTAAGAAGCATTAATAAGTATGGTGTACAAAAAAGTGTTCTGTTTAATATCTAAGGTAATACACTTACTTGGACAGTGGGTAATTGAACATGTTGAATTGTCATCGTAATTGCCTGAACAATTGACCCCACCATATTGTGGAGCGGGATTGTTACACGATCTGTTTCTAAATTTGTAACCAATGCCACATGTTGCTGAACAAGTTGTCCACACAGCCCATTCTGTCCATTCTCCATCAACTAAAACACAGCAAGTTAATAGATATACGATTTGTAAATTAATGACCAGAAAAAAAAAAAAAAAAATAAAAAAAAATAAAAAAAAAACAAAAAAAAAAAAAACGCACACACACAAGAGTGTATACGTCTCATACTCATCTGAACCTTTTATTTTCTGAAAGTTTCTGAGAAAATGTACAAATATAAATGAAAACAAGTTTGTTCAAGTAAAAAGAAGACACAAACACTTTTTATATCAGTTGTGGAAAGGTATGGTAGATCATGTCGACAATAATCAGATAGTAAAACATACGAGTATATCGCCACATCTAAGAAATATTCTGAAAAAGTATGTAATAACGTTTTGTTTCACAAGAACAGGGCTCAAAATATGGAAAGCACGACAAAACCGGTCTTGCACTGATTTGACTGTCGTGTTGCACCGTATACAGGTTATGACTTATATAGCTTACACGCGAGCTGTATACGTTGCATGTACGACCGTATACAGCTTACATCGAATACAGCATCCCGTTAGCTGTAAACGTAAAGATGTTGCATATCACCGTATACAGCTCATTTTCGTAAGATGACCAAACTGGTGATTGTCCACACTTTTTTCGTCTATGCTGCGACTACGCCTACGTCTACCACGACTATGACAGCAACCACGACTACAACTTTTACGACTAAGAGAGTTCGACTTCGACGACGACTTTGTCCACGACATTTTCTACATCATTAATGACCACGAGTACAACTATGACGACAATTACCACTACTATAACCACTATGACTTATCGTATATCTACGATTTTTCGAGTTCGCCGATGGCTACGACCATTTCTACGATTACAAATTAAACGACTACGATCCCGAAGGTAGCGACAACCCGGCCAATACGACGTTTACGAATAAGCAACAGCGACTTCAAAAATAAGCCGACAACTAAGGCACAGCTACAATTACTTTGACTATTACGACTACGACTTACAAGACTTCGCCGAAAATTGCGAACATGACCACGACTAGGACTAGAAAAACTTCATCGACCAAAATGGCTACGACTATGTTTTTATTTGTAATTTAGATAACAAACGTCACAGATAATACTTTACCGTTTTTACACACAAATGATATTTGACCTAACATACACAATTCTTATAATTAAAAGTACTAATTAATAACAATCAGCAAATCAAAATCTGTACGGTTTTATTTCCGAAACAGCACAATTGTTTTGATATGTGATTACAACCGTGTTGCTGTCAAATCCACATTTTTCAAAAATCGACTTCATTTAGCATATAATTTTGACTTAAAGTTTGATAACTATATTTATATTATTTAATGTACTTACCAGGACATTCACCTTCATAACAGTCTCCTGATTCTGTGAAGTTTCCAGCACATTGTTTACCACCGCCTTTTGGTAAGGGATTTGAACATGTTCGTGTTCTCTGGTTGATACCATGCGAGCATGTAACAGAACAGCTACCCCAGGCTTGCCAATCTGCCCAATTACCATCCACTGTAAAACAGAAGTACGTTATAATAACAAGCTGAACATGCTATAATGGCATTGATAATGGCAAAATCAAATATCATAGTGTACTTATGATAGCAGTATGGCAAAATCAATTATTAAAGTGTACTTATGATAGCAATTTTGGCATTGATAATGGCAAAATCAATTATTATAGTGTACTTATGGTAGCAGTTATGGCATTGATAATGGCAAAATCAATTATTATAGTGTACTTATGATAGCAGATATCTCTTAAATATCCAACAATGAATATCTTAACATCTGAAAACTGTTTTCATGTTGCAGGCAGTACAATATGACATGACTACTGTCTACTGGCTTTAGGCGAGATCAAACGTGCCCGCTTATATAATGTTAAAACACGTCATTTCCGGAGTTGTATATATTAAGTTTAAAACGTGTTTATTGTATTAAATAACCTTCAAACACAAGAGGTATCAATGTTATACGTGAGGTTTCTGGCATATCCATGTCCTCATAGTCATAATAGTAACCAAGTAGACACGTTAACATCTCTTTACCAAATCTGAAGACTGTCGTTAAAGTCACAGTGACCAAAACAATTTATCACAAAATAGTTTTATATACTGGTCATGTCAAACTTTCTTCACTTTTCATCTCACATTTGACAGAGGACATCTACAGGCCTTAACTAATTTTGTCAGGTGATGAAATTTAAAACGAATTTTCACTAACAATATATGTCTGATATATCTGATAATGTTATCTCACTAACAATATATGTCTGATATATCTGATAATGTTATCTCACTAACGATATTTATCTGATATATCTAATAATGTTATCTCACTAACAATATATGTCTGATATATCTGATAATGTTATCTCACTAACGATATTTATCTGATATATCTAATAATGTTATCTCACTAACAATATATGTCTGATATATCTGATAATGTTATCTCACTTACGATATTTATCTGATATATCTGATAATGTTATCTCACTAACACTATATATCTGATATATCTAATAATGTTATCTCACTAACAATATATATCTGATATATCTGATAATGTTATCTCACTAACACTATATATCTGATATATCTGTTTATGTTATCTCATTAACAATATATGTCTGATATATCTGATAATGTTATCTCACTAACAATATATATCTGATAATGTTATCTCACTAACGATATTTATCTGATATATCTGATAATGTTATCTCACTAACAATATATATCTGATATATCTGATAATGTTATCTCACTAACGATATTTATCTGATATATCTGATAATGTTATCTCACTAACGATATTTATCTGATATATCTGATAATGTTATCTCACTAACGATATTTATCTGATATATCTGATAATGTTATCTCACTAACAATATATATCTGATATATCTGATAATGTTATCTCACTAACAATATATATCTGATAATGTTATCTCACTAACGATATTTATCTGATATATCTGATAATGTTATCTCACTAACAATAAATGTCTGATATATCTGATAATGTTATCTCACTAACGATATATGTCTGATATGTCTGATAATGTTATCTCACTAACCATATATATCTGATATATGTGATAATGTTTTCTCACTAACAATATATATCTGATGTATCTGATAATGTTATCTCACTAACAATATTTATCTGATATATCTGATAATGTTATCTCACTAACGATATTTATCTGATATATCTGATAATGTTATCTCACTAACACTATATATCTGATATATCTAATAATGTTATCTCACTAACAATATATATCTGACATATCTGATAATGTTATCTCACTAACACTATATATCTGATATAGCTGTTAATGTTATCTCATTAACAATATATGTCTGATATATCTGATAATGTTATCTCACTAACAATATATATCTGATATATCTGATAATGTTATCTCACTAACAATAAATGTCTGATATATCTGATAATGTTATCTCACTAACAATATATATCTGATAATGTTATCTCACTAACGATATTTATCTGATATATCTGATAATGTTATCTAACTAACGATATTTATCTGATATATCTGATAATGTTATCTCACTAACGATATTTATCTGATATATCTGATAATGTTATCTCACTAACGATATTTATCTGATATATCTGATAATGTTATCTCACTAACGATATTTATCTGATATATCTGATAATGTTATCTCACTAACGATATTTATCTGATATATCTAATAATGTTATCTCACTAACGATATTTATCTGATATATCTAATAATGTTATCTCACTAACAATATATGTCTGATATATCTGATAATGTTATCTCACTAACAATATTTATCTGATATATCTGATAATGTTATCTGAACACAATGAAGTAAATATCTACCTGGACATTCAGCTTCATTACAGGTAGCAATATCTGCAAATCTTCCTTTGCATGGCTTGCCGTGATTTTGTGGAATCGGATTAGAGCAGGCCCTGTAGCGGATATTAGACCCCACTCCACACGTGGCATTACAACCAAACCAACTACTCCATTCTGACCAACCCCCATCAACTGAAATATATTGGTCATAATTATAATAGTTTATACATGTGCTAGTATAAAATTTTACTTAATTGAACAGATAAGCGGAAAATAATGATTTATGAATTTATTTAATTAGGGAAAAGAGTTTATAGCCATATTTTTTAATCCTATGACCAACGTATTTTGTTAACCAGGATTCTATTTTTCTCACCTCAATTCAAGCTGTAACTTAAAGCATGTACAATCTAAGATATTCAAGCATACGACCATTTTGTATGTTGCCTGAAACAAATGTATTTTTTGGCAATAGTTTAAAAAAGTACTTATCAGCTTTACTTGTGTCACAGAAATATAAATAATATATTATGTCGTTATTATGAAAGGAAGATGTTCATACTGATACATGAAGGTCTTTCTGAGCAAAATTGGCTTTCATTATCAACTCCAGTACAATTTTCTCCACCATACATCGGTGTCGGATTGGAGCACGTGCGTGTTCTAGATTGTGTCCCATTTTCACACGATACAGAACATTTTGTCCATGCAGTCCAATCAGTCCACGAACCATTTACTATTATAATTAGAATTTAATTCATTAGACATTGATACTCTTGCTTTAGGAATGGTTGGTAACATACCATTAATTGATTCAATGTTAACTAACTTAAGTTCTTATCTAAATCGGTAAGAAAATTACAATTACCTTTAATGTATGTACAATTTAATCAAAGAAACATAACATATACTGAAATGTAACTTGTGCTATATTATATTCTTGTACATTGCTAAGCCTATTCCATATACATTTCTAAATGAGCATTTTGCTGTATACCTGGACAATTCCCAAGGTCTTGACTTTCATGTTTATTAAAATCTCCAGGGCAGTTTTGACCTCCATTCTGTGGTGCCGGGTTGTCACACTTTCGAGTACGTGTCCTTGATCCATTAGCACACGTAACATCCCAACTAGACCACTCAAGCCATGCTGACCAATTACCATCAACTATAAAATTTATTGTAAAATTGTCTCTTTATAAACCTTTCCTTTTTAATATAATCTGAGCAACTACAAGGGGAAAAACAATCTTACATTAAAGAACAACAAAATAAATATTCGTACTTGGACACGGGTTTAGCGTACATATCCTCGACTCATCCGTTCCACCCTGGCAATCCGCTCCTCCAAACTCCGGTTTTGGATTGTTGCATGTTCGATTTCTGTACTGTGTTCCATTTTCACATGTGACGTCACAATGTGTCCAAGCTGACCACGATGACCATTCTCCGTCAACTTTAATACGAAACATTTTTCTAATACGAAACTTTTTTTTAAAACAATTTTATTTGTACCATACGAAATAAAGATTGATTTGGTATATACATCAGCAAAACGCAAATTGAGGACTTCTTTGAAATACAATCATGTTGCATTTTCAATTCAAAACACCAATTAGCTTGAAATGTGAACATGTAAGTGATTTGTCTATTATATAATCAAATATGTAATATATAAACTTTTTGGAATACTTATTTAATCGAACAAAGGCTATTACTACAGCTTGACTCTTTTAAATTCATTTATTTCACATGGCAATTTTTGAATACAACGGAAATATTTTTCATAAATGTGTTGGTCTTAGGAGATAAAATTAGTATAATACAACAGTTCATTCAAATGATGCATATCACTATCCGCGATTGACGAACAAAACCTAAAGTCAAATTAATCAACGACATAACTAATTATCTATCAACTAGAGTAAAGTTACAAATAATCTTACTTGGACACTCTGGTTTAAGACACGCCTTTGCTTGTGACGTTTCCCCGCCGCAATAAGCTCCGCCATGGATAGGTTTTGGGTTCAGACATTGTCTGTATCTGTGAACCACGCCGTTACCGCATGTCACACTGCACCTGTAACTCCACTCGAGCCAGGTGTTCCAACCACCATTCACTGTATTCATACCAATTTAATATCGATTAATTTAAACTTCTAATAAAACATTGAACAAAAGCTGGGCATCAAAAGGTCAGATTTTAAATTAGATTTAAAATGGTAATAAAAAAATGTAATTTAAATTACACCAGCTTAGTACTGTCTTCATAAAGCTGTATTCCAATTATTATTTACTGATTGAGCATATTGTTTATGAAAACAAGTAAAATGCTACATGGTAATTGTTTTCGTGTTTAACGTATATAACATCGACAATGAATAAGAAAGAAAATTTGCTCAGATACACACAATTGGAACACACATATAAACAAAACCTACAAACGTCTGGACAAATTTACCAGGGCACACAAGCAGATTGGTATCAGGCACACATGGGCCTGTCTCTGTGGCACTGCCTATACAATATGCTCCATTAGCCACAGGTGTCGGATTATCACAGTCTCGTTTTCTCCGACGAGTTTTCTGACACGTGCATTCTGCCCATTCTTGCCACTGGCTCCATTCACCATCAACTAAGAAAAAATAACAAAATACCCGCTTTAAAGTATGAACTGTTTGATGTAACTTCTTATGAATAAAACAACACAAAAGTTGACATTTTCATTTCATCTCAGAGGTCCTATATATATCCTGTCATGTGTTTCTTTTCAGTTTTCTCATTTATATAGTTTTGAAACTATTCTAAAAGCATAAAAACCAAAAGAAAATTATAAGAAAACTTACAAAAAACAAAACAAGTCACTATTTTAACATACAAATGCTAGTATTTATGGATGAATATAATAATGAGAATCAGAACCCATACCGTCACACACTGCCTCATTACAACCATCATTGTTTTTGTTTGTTCCTACACAATCGGCACCTCCGTTGGACGGGGCTGGGTTAGAACATGTGCGTGTACGTTCTTTTGTTCCATTGCCACAAGTCACACTGCAAGGATCCCATGATGACCAATCTGTCCAATGCCCATCACCTATTTAAAAAAGATATCATTTCGTTGACAATTCGACTGAATCATCTAAGGAAGGATATACATAAAATTGATGACAGCACCTTTTTTCATGTTAGGAAGAATGTTTATTATTGAATTGTTTCAAAATTGCGACTGTATTAATTTGTTTACTTACAGGTAAATAAAGTTGTTAGGTAAAGAAAATGAAAGGTGTTGAGCTAGGGCTCCGATAATACACTACATCAGCTACATCAGACATGGGATTGTTTCTTAATGTATTTAGACTAGTTATCGTGAGACAAGTCACATTTTTCCACATTAAAGGTTTTTGTTTTGATATTCTACTCGTATGTTACTAAATTTGCAAACAGAAACAAATATGATATTTTTGACGCACTATATTAACTTCGTCCAACTTTTAATGAAAACTGTTGAGTTGTATTATTTCAGTTATCACTCATTTATTTTAATAATATTTTACAGTTTTACATTCTAATGATATATGGCTTCTCAATTGTCATCATAGTCTCTTACGAATCCAACAATAAGTAGAACACTGAACCTTCCTTGTAAGATAAAGTCATCTGCGAGCAATCAACAACTCAAGTCGGAAAGATTTAGGAGCTTTAAAGTGAAATTAAAGAAAACAAGAGCACCGCTAGGCGGAGCATTATATGCCCGAAAGTGATTTTTTTAGTAAAGATGAAGCATTTGTAAGACATTGGAATTACCTCCTTCACATAACAATCCTCCTATGAAGTTTGAATATTGTGGTCCAAATGGAACTTAAGTTATGCCCCGGAAACTGTTTTCAGTTTTAAGGTAATAGTGACCTTGACCTTTGACCTTGTGACGTCAAATCAATTGGGGTCTTCTACCTAATATGGACACTCATCCTATGAAGTTTGAACACTGTGGGCCAAATGGAACTTAAGTTATGCTCCGGAAACTGTTTTCAGTTTTAAAGTAATAGTGACCTTAACATTTGACCTTGTGACTTCAAAATCAATCGGGGTCTTCTACCCAATATGGACAATCATCCTATCTTAAGTTTGAACACTGTGGGTCAAATTGGACTTAAGTTATGCTCCGGAAACTGTTTTCAGTTTTAAGGTCATAGTGACCTTGACCTTGTGACCCCAAAATCAATAGGTGTCTTCTACCCAATATGGACAATCATCCTATGAAGTTTGAATATTGTGGGACAAATGGAACTTAAGTTATGCTCCGGAAACCAAATTGCAAACGGACGGATAGACGGACGGACGGATAGACAGACGCACGGACGGACGCCAGGGGGTATAACATTATATGCCCGAAATTCTTTCGGGCATATAAAAAGGGGGATAAGGCAACGAATTTTGAGATGCAAGTATGGAAGATGCGGGGGAAAGGATTTACAGTACTTAATATGCACGACATATTGCATGATAAGACGAGTTGAAGATAAACAATAAATGAGACAGTTATATAGAAGAACATGGATGGGCATCGCCTTGGAATGATGATCAGTAGCAAAACGTCTACTATAGTGTGTTTAAACAATTGTATTTGTACTATACGGAGGCAATGAAAACAATATTACATGAAAAATATGAACAAATATAACGTCTCTAAAGCCCAGTAGCACCGGCCTAAGCCTAAGAAATAAATATATGTTTCTGTTTACTTTAGAATAAGAAATCATATGCTTTATATAGTTTAAATACTCGATAGAAGGGCTTGTTAAATGATTTTATCACGTAAAACAGTAGCCTTTATCTTGAATAATCTGTCATCAAGGTACCAAACAGTTACCAAAGTACTTCCGTACAAAATACTTCATTACTATAACTGTTCTTATTGCTAAAATGTAAAAGAAACAAAAGACGGTTCAGCTGTATTTCCAGTGAGTAACATTTTCTTTAAGGCACCAAAACTAAATCGGTTAATTCATAGTGGAGCATGACCTCACAGTCAAAACTAAGAGATCATTCGTATGTGCCTTCAGAAAGTACCTAGTTGAAGATACTAGAACTCAAACGGAAGGTTTTAAAGATCAGCAGCATTAATTATATATATTATGTATATGTTTAGCTGTGTAAAGGTCACAAGAGAAGAATCGCGAAGAAAAGAAGAATAATGAGGACCCTACAATAGTGAACAGGAAATGTGAACGAAAGGAAATGGACCGCACGAAAGCTGCTTAAGACAAGACGAAAAAGAAATCGCACAAAGAGCATCGAAAAGGGAAAGAACCAATGAAAAAACTTAAAGAGTACTCCAAGATCAAATGGCAAAAGGATGACGGGAAAGAGACAAAAATGTAGAATTCATTTGCTCTTATCTGAAGGTCCCTTAATCCCTAGAACTGAGTTAAATATTTCAGCATGATATTTTGACAATGATTGTGGTAACATACATAAAGATCATATGACGATTTCTCAACAACTGTCAACATTTATATTTACATGTATATTCACTCTGGTAACTGGACCGCCTCCGTGGTCGAGGGGTTAGAGTCGATGACTTCTTATCCAGTTACCTCTCTGGCGTGGGTTCGATCCCCGGGAGATGCTTTGGTAGTTTAGCGCGGAGGAAGGTAGTCTAGTACTGGTGTAACTCTCCAGGAACGATGGTTAGGAAACTACCCGCCTAAATGACTGAAATACTGTTGGGAAAAGGCGTTAAATGAAACAAACATTCAAAATCTGGTAACTGTAATTATTGGATTTATTCTAACAACTGATATACCTACGTGGACAATCTTGTGTATTACACACTTGTGATGGTATACCTACGTGGACAATCTTGTGTATTACACACTTGTGATGGTATACCTACGTGGACAATCTTGTGTATTACACACTTGTGATGATATACCTACGTGGACAATATTGTGTATTACACACTTGTGATGGTATACCTACGTGGACAATCTTGTGTATTACACACTTGTGATGGTATACCTACGTGGACAATCTTGTGTATTACACACTTGTGATGATATACCTACGTGGACAATCTTGTGTATTACACACTTGTGCTTCACTATACTCTCCTACACAGTCACGTCCTCCATAACTAGGGCCAGGGCTATTACAGTAACGATTTCTGGTTTTCGCGCTCCCGCCACAACTGACAGGACATGTATCCCAGGCAGACCACACCGAAAACATACCATCAACTGTAAACAAATACCATATTGTGACAATTACACTAATTTGAAGGATACAGTGTATAATGAATTATCATGTATGGTACTGCCGCATTATATACATAAATCTTTAGTATGTGCAAATTTCAGATAAATAAATTCGTCCGAAGACTTTCTTACCTGGGAAAATCGTTACATGCACTTTATCATATAGCTTTCAGGTTCCTTCCTATTAAGTGTAGTAATAAAAAGCTATATATAGAAACAAAACGACTTTAAATTTCAAGTATGATGGTGCAGACTCACAGGTTTTCTCAGTTGGGAATTGTTTTTCTCTTCAGGGGAGCATTTTTACAAACATACGATGGATTACGTGGTCAAGGACTGAAAAGCAGTGTGTAGGTAACGAAAACATAGAAACGGAGTAAGCGAATGATCTGAAATTTTGTACACGAGTTATTGGTCTAGACATACATCTAGTTATACAAAAAATTTGAGAAAATATTTTTGGTCCCTTCACGTCAAAAACCCTCAGTGGAGTCCCTTTAATCGTATAAATAGAGATTAAAGAAACATTTTGCAAGACCTTGTGAAAAGTCAACACGGGCATCTTCTTACAGATTACTTTTAAAGAATTCTCTAAAAGGATTTATTTGGATACTTTCAAACTGCATTTACAAAATTCCGCTTGACAGTAAACAGATTATCACCAGAAACAAGTCAGTGGCACACACCAAATGAAATACAAAGAAATGAAAGAAAATGTTTTGTATGTAAAACTCATATGGATGAATTTCATTTTTTATTAGAATGTAGTTTATATAAAAACTTGAAAGTTAGTGACTTTTTTCGTTTATTTTCTATATATATGGTTTGAATACATGTACTGATAAGTGTTAAGTTATGTTTGAATATTAGTAGTTCATATTGACTTATAAAATTGATTTATATATTGTTTAAGAGTATTGTACTGTGTACAACTCATTTGTTGTCACTTTATTAACAATCTATTTATCTATCTATAGTCTAGATTTTAACTTCTGTAAAACCAATAGATATTGTACTAATGCATAAGGCAAAGATAAATGTGTACTTGGACAATTTAGTGCATCGGAGCATGTTGATGTGTCCGTGTCATTTCCTTCACATTCACGAACATCTCCACTCATACATGTCCTCTGTCTAGTTTTTACTCCTTCACCACATGTAATAGAACAAGCTGACCAGTTGCCCCAGATTTCCCACACTCCGGTCACTTAAATAATTCCAAATAACACAATTATAACTGATTTTATGGCAGAATAAGTCTAGGAAAATATCCGGATCAATACAATCATTTAGGAGGAATTGTTGATGTTGTTGACAATGAGGAACGGAATGGATTTCTTTTTCAAATAATCGTACCAACGATTTCAAATAATCGTACCAAACAAACATCTTGCGATAGATACACGTACTTTAAATTAGCAGAAACGTACTGGTGAAGATGTTCTATAAAATCAGCATTTTCTCACTGATCAATTTTTAATGTCCTTTAAATTCTATTACATATTTTCTTTTGTACTACTTAAAACAAACAGTTACAGGCAGCACATTTCAGCTATGCGTTTTACAAAATATTGTACATGAAAACAGCTCCAACGTTATTGATATACTCAGTATATAATAGAGTCAGTTGTATTTTAATTACAGACAGAATAAAGAAAGCATGCCTTACATGTACATGGTTCACGGGTATTACTCTCTCCCAGACAATCTGTGTTTGCGTATCCTTTGAGGCAAGTCCGGTTTCTAAAAAAACAAGCAATTATCATAGTATTGCAAGCAATACATAAGTCCCCTACCGGTAAGAGCCCAAGCAACATTCTGAAGGGCCATTTGGCATTCACTTATGTTCCTATTTTAAGTAAATTTGTTAAAAAAGTTATTTAAAAGTTATCACATGGAAACAGTTTTTATGTACAGACAGACAGACTGAAGGACACTCTAAAGTTATTTTTTAAACATCCCTGTTATCAAAATATAACATTTTTTAAAATCCTATCATGATTGAAGAAGTTGGAGTAAAAATTACCAATTTCTCAAAAAAAAGTCTAAGTTCAAAAGGGGCATAATTCTGGAAATAGTCTTGCTAGAGTATTGAACACTCACAAATGTTGAGTGATAATAAGAAACATTTATATGAAGTTTGAAGTAGATACATTCAAAAAAAGAAGTTATTAAAAAAAACAATGTTTTTTTCATGAAAATTTTAAGTTCAAGGGAGGTAATTCTGATAAATTTTGTGCTAGAGTTGTAAACCTTGTCACATATGATGTGGTTGATGACAAGCAACTTATATTTAAAGTTTGAAGAAAATACCTTAAGAAATAAAGAACTTTTAGTGAAAAAAACTTAAAAACTAGAATCAGAAATCTTGAAATTCAGTCTATTTGTTGCCATAGCAACCAGAATTTTCAACATAGGAAGATAAGAAAAGAATGTGCATAATTTCCATACTGCCATCTACCCATATGTCAAGTTTCATAAACATATTTTCAGTACTTTTTGTGTTATCACTGGATCCAGGTTATGTGTAAAATTTGCCATATTTTCAGTCTATTTTGTTGCCATAGCAACCAGAATTTTCAACATAGGAAGAAAAGAAAAAGATGTGCATAATCTTCATACTGCCATCTATCCATATATCAAGTTTCATAAAAATATTTTCAGTACTTTTTGCGTTATCGCGGGATCCAGGTTATGTGTAAAATTTGCCATATTTTCAGTCTATTTGTTGCCATAGCAACCAGAATTTTCAACATAGGAAGAAAAGAAAAAGACGTGCATAATCTCCATACTGCCATCTATCCATATATCAAGTTTCATTAAAATATTTTCAGTACTTTTTGCGTTATCGCGGGATCCAGTTTTGTGGACGGACGGACTGACGGACGGACGGACTGACGGACAGACGGACAGACGGACGGAGGGTAAACCTAAAGTCCCCTCCGGTAAACCGGTAGGGGACTAAAAAAAACAAGTATGAGTTTTTGTTAAATATTTTAATCAACGATGTACTTGTCATATCTTGGTGTAGATCAGATATTGAAATAGTGAGATTAATGGTGATATTTAAACCGCACTATTTGATAATGCACTAACGATTTACTCCTTTGGGATTCCTAATACAGTACAACAGTTATCAAAAATATTTAAAAATTAGGATCAAGATCAGAATAAATTTATATTTAATCTATTTTTATTGTTTACTAATACCATGCATATTTAATGTTACCATAAAAGTGGACATTGAAGAAGCATATGAGATGGTGAATTTAAGAAAAAATAATCAGAATTATTTTAAATAATATGCACGTTTAAAGCTTTAGCTAGACAATGATCTTGATCTTAAAAAATTGCCTTATTCGATTCCATTATTATTGTTATTTATTATCCAGAAGTGAGTTTGTTTTATTGCATATAAGCAATGCGTACGTCTTTACATTTATATATGTACCAAATCATTTTAGCCTAGAACCAGTGTTTCATATAGCAATGACTTGTGGATATAATTATAGTTTTCTGTGTTATTCATTTTTTACTACTATACATGTATATACCGTGCCGGGTCATTGTAGTTACTGTTATTTTATCAATCATTGTTTCAAAATTCTGATTATAATCTATTTAAGTAACATTTCGTCTGCGTAAAATGAATTTGCTCATGTTAAACTAAATTAAATTTAAAGATTTATCATTTTTATTACCTGTATTGTAAATTTGAGTTACTTCCATTGGCATCGACAGTTTTAAGACATGGGCCAACATTGTTCCAACTTCCCCATGATGATTCTGAAAATAGAATAACAGAGACATGCATGATTTACAATATCATTTGAATATACAAGAAACTGAATTTTTACACCTGAGATGACTAGTCGTCAATGATTGTTAAATAACGAACTTTTGAATAAATAATATGAAAATAAAAACTATAACATAAACACTTATGACACTATGTAGGTAATGTTAACTGTAAAAGATATTTTTACATGTTTTTAACAAATCACATAACTTGATTTATCAGATGATTTAGTTCTATATATTATTTCAGACATACACTTAATATCGCACAGTACCTAAGTACTTGATTCCTACCTATCTACCTACATACGAGCAAATAACGTTACCTTTCTTACAAGCTTCTATGTCATAAAAGCGACCATAACAATCTTTTCCCGAGTTCTTTGGTTTTGGTTTTGAGCAGTTGCGAAACCTGTTAACATAGTGTTGTGTTTTATATTACATGATTACATGTATATACATGTACATTATCATAATGTACAATATAATAATTATATATATGATAAACGTTATTTCCTGGCCGTAGCCTATCGGCTCGGATTATACTTTAAATCAAACGTTTTTATAGTGTCGTATAACCTGTCAAATCTTTATAACTTATGAACTAATAAGAACATTATTATAAAATCGACCTAAATAAAAATTGTATGCACAAGCGGTGTGGTTAAATATTGTTTAAGTAGATCATAAGAAAACTTAACCTGACTGTGATGTTGTATTTTAGGCCAGATACGCAATTACTCCATTCCTCCCATGACGTCCAACCTCCGTCCACTGTTAATGTAAATTCTTATATTTAACAATACGCTTCTTCTATGAATTTGTATTATTGCTGATTCTACACAATGCATTTTTCTCCCAATTTGTAAACAAGACCGTTGCTTATTTTAAAGATTTCAAGATGAGAGTTTATCTATAGTTTAGAAAGGTTTAGATCTTTAGCAAAGGAACATGTTTATGAAATGCATTATAAATATCTATATGTATTTCATAGAATAAAAATTTAGGATGATATTTGGAAAAGAAATCTTCGATTCTACGATGTTAGTAAAATATGTGTTATTTCATAAATGGCGATTTACTACTAGAGATAGTTTTTAAAATGATGTAATTTGTTATAATTAGGATTTCTGAATGATATATAAGAAATAAGATAAATAGACATACCGTTGCAAATACTTTGCGTACAAGTCATGTTCTCAGAAGATGGGCCGGAACAAACACCTGCACCATTACATGTTCTGTTTCTGGTTGTTATACTGGTATCACATGGTGGCTGACACAGATCCCACGACGACCACTCTGACCAGAATGCTAGGCTCGAATCTTCAAAAATACATTATGTGTTTACAAATGGGTGAAATTGAGAACTACAATTAAAATGAGTTCACTATGATGCAGCATATGCTCATGATGTATTTTGTCAATATTATTTCTTTTAAAGCAAACAAATGTCTCATATCTATGCTAAACAAAAGGTTCAGCAAAAATATTTGATCATTTGAAGAAAAAAAACTTGTAAATAACAATAACGTAGTGTAACGAAGAAACATGTGATTATTAAAATAACTAGCAATCTCTTTCATAAAGAGGAGTTTTACCTATCGAAACGTTGGAGACTGATAAGTTTGTGAAAGAAATATTTTTTCTTTCCAAATTTGGCATTTGCATAAATATGAATTTAGATTTTCTATGTTCACCACAAATCAAATAATACATGTATGAGTGTCTAGTTTTTAGGTTTATATTCACCTACCAGCACATGAAGGGGTCATGCATTTTCTTGACTCCGAAGAGTTCCCGGCACAGGATAGACTGTCGGCCGAAGTGTTACTGTTTGCTGTGTTTACAACGATGCAATTACGTTGCCGCGTTTGATCACCTTCTCCACAGGTAACTGAACAGGCACCCCATGTACCCCAGTCCGAATATACAGGAGGTTCTGTTTGTTTGTACAGACACATAACAATTAGCTCTTACAATTATTTTCTACATTAGAAGAAATTTGCAAAACTCGGTATTAACTCGTATTGAAAATGTAATTCAAAAAATGACTTTACGGAAAGTGATTTATTTATTTATCAAGAACAATTTGTTAATCAGCCATTAAGTACATTAGTTCAAGCGACCGTGACGGGTCTAGAATTAAGTGACCACACAACAAGGGACCTTACACTACCAAGAGAACAAATTATTGCATTATCTCACCATTACATAAAGTAGCATCAACTTTTTTACCAGGACACGGTCCCGTTGTACATATCCTGCTCCTAAAATACAAAATCAATACTTATAAAATATAACCAATGAACATTCAACATTTAAACCACGTGACGTTCCAATAGAAATCATTATCGAATTAAGTCTGTTTCCTTTTCCAGAGCCGAAACAACCCACATCAACGTTATTTAGAATAATTCCTAAATCAAATTCATATTGTATCCCATTTTACCTCATTTCAAAAGTCAAAAATATATATACATAGTAGAGAACTTAACTGATTCTGTTTGACTCGTACATGTACTAACCTGCAAGAACTTTATAGGCTGTGTACTCCAACAAAATTCAGTAATGTATTTAACAATGTATTATAATCTCATAATATTACTGATATTATTATTAATAATACTGAAGAAAATTATGTCCCATGTTGTTTGCTACATATTATTGTGAGTCCGTATACACTCTGCTGAAAATTATTGTTGATATATAAATGCTGTAATACACTGTCATGTTATGAAATATTATACTGTTTTGTTGAATACTATGTGTGATTTAGGCAGTCAAAATCTATGTTAATTTATTTCTAAGAAAATCATTCTAGTGCCGTTTAAAAATCCTGATGTACATAGCGCTATATCAACTTCACGAACAATCTTAGTTCGTCGTAGCACACATTGTGTACATGACTGTATTACCGGTATTTGTAATTTAAGGCAAAGGATTGTGTGTAATATGAATTTAACATTAATGTAACAAAAGTTAAAATAATATGATACAACAGAAATAAAACAAGCAATTATCATAGTATTGCAAGCAATCCATAAGTCCCCTACCGGTTAGAACTCCAGCAACATTCTGATGGGCCATTGGCCATTCAATTTTACCAGTGAATGAATGACATGAATGAACATAAATCTTTTGAGATCTATGTTTGTCTATATCACAGTAATGTGTTCAGTGTCCTTGCCTAGTAAGAAAATTATGTTTATACAACCTTGTCATATTATTACGATGTGGGATTTTAAAGTAAATCCTATAAGGAATGAAGAAGTTGGAGTAAAAAATACCAATTTCTCGAAAAAATTCTAAGTTCAAGGGGGACATAGTTCTGAAAATAGTCTTGCTAGAGTATTTAACCTTCTCAAAAATGTTGAGTGATAATAAGAAACATATATATGAAGTTTGAAGTAGATACATTAGGAAATAAAGAAGTTATTTAAAAAAGACAACATTTTTTTTCATAAATATTCTAAGTTCAAGGAAGGTAATACTGATATTGTTTGTGATAGATTTGTAAACATTGTCACATATGATGTGGTTGATGACCAGAAACTTATATTTAAAGTTTGAAGTAAACACCTTAAAAAATAAAGAACTTATAGTGAAAAAGCTGAAAAATTTATATCAGAAATCTTGAAATTCAGGCTATTTGTTGCCATAGCAAACAGAATTTTCAACACAGGAAGAAAAGAAAAAAATGTGCATAATCTCAAGACTGCCATCTACCCATATTTCAAGTTTCATAAAAATATTTTCAGTACTTTTTGAGTTATCACTGGATCCAGTTTATGTGTTAAATTTGCCATATTTTCAGACTATTTGTTGCCATACCAACCAGAATTTTCAACACAGGAAGAAAAGAAAAAGATGTGCATAATTTCCAGACTGCCATCTACCCATATTTCAAATTTCATAAAAATATTTTCAGTACTTTTTGAGTTATCACTGGATCCAGTTTATGTGTTAAATTTGCCATATTTTCAGACTATTTGTTGCCATAGCAACCAGAATTTTCAACATAGGAACAAAAGAAATAGACGTGCATAATCTTCATACTGCTATCTATCCATATATCAAGTTTCATAAAAATATTTTTAGTACTTTTTTGCGTTATCGCGGGATCCAGTTTTGTGGACGGACGGACTGACAGACAGACAGACGGACGGACGGACGGACAGACAGACGGACGGAGGGTAAACCTAAGTCCCCTCCGGTTATCCGGTAGGGGACTAACAACAGTAAATTGTCGATAATAACAAATGCAAACATGCTCATAATCGTGTTTGTTCCCCGGTACATTTTTACTGCCTAAACATGAAAGCATGAACGATAAGCAGAAGGGAGACATTCAATAAACACATAATTGCTAAGTTTGTTCATGCATTGAATACAAAACTTAAAAAATACATTAAATCAAGTGAACAGATATCGAATATTACAAATTTGATAAAAAAATAAAAAATAAAAAAAAAGAATCAAAATTCAAGTGTGTAGTTAAGCATGTTGATAAGTTACCTCAATTTGATATCAATGCCTGAAGTTGTATAGCAGATACTCCAGGCCTCCCAGGATGTCCAGCCAGATACTACATCAAAGTACAATTGCTTAATTTCTAAACATTAGCACCTTACAACATTTTTGTATAAATTAATTAAATAAAACAAGTAATACTCAATCTCATTAAAATAGATCATCGTTTTTCGCCCCGTTTCTCTTCGCTACGTAGCGTAGGAGATTGAGTAATATTTAATAGCATCTTGATTTCAATTGTTATTCATGTTAAAGGCCCATTATGCCCCAAGATGCTATTATTCTTATTTTGTTATTTAAAGGTATTTATCATTTGTGTCTTGTTAAACATTGTTTAGTTTCCAAAAAACATACATATTGGACAAATACCTGAATCAGCGTTTCCTTCTTATGCTTCTCGACAATAAGTAATAAGTTTTTTTTTTAATTAATTTTTGTCATAAATTGCCCAGCAAACTTTTAATAAAAATCATCATAAACAGTAACTGTCTATTTGATAAAGAAACATTATTTGTAGACAAATGTCTGTATACACTGATAAATATGACACTTTTGTCATACTTATTTCCTTCTTGAATAAAATCATTGTTAGACCATTTTCCTCTCCATGAGAATTTCTCTTATTAGAACGTAGAGAGATATTTAAAAATGAACTTGAATAACTTACGGTCAGCACAGCTAATAATGTCCCATGATTTTCCCCCCGGACATACAGTACCTCCTTTTTCTGGTGGTGGTTCACACTGTCGAAGTCTATATCAAATTTTTGAATAATGAAATGAATAAAAGATAGTATACTCAGGCTATAATTTATACAGTATAGAAAAAAATTATTTTCCTGTCTCAAATAAATCTTGGTATCAGGTGTGATCTTTAAAAAGCACGGTATCGGGTGAGATCTTATAGAAAACTACAATATCAGGTGTGATCTAATAGAAATCACGGTATCAGGTGTGATCTTATAGAAAACCACGGTATCAGGTGTTATCTTATAGAAAACCACGTTATCCGGTGTTATCTTAAAGACAACCATGGTATCAGGTGTGATCTTATAGAAAACCATGGTATCAGGTGTTATCTTATAGAAAACCATGGTATCAGGTGTTATCTTATAGAAAACCATGGTATCAGGTGTGATCTTATAGAAAATCACGGTCTCAGGTGTTATCTTATAGAAAACCAGGGTATCAGGTGTTATCTTATGGACAACCATGGTATCAAGTGTGATCTTATAGAAAACCACGGTATCAGGTGTTATCTTATAGAAAACCAGGGTATCAGGTGTTATCCTATAGACAACCATGGTATCAGGCGTGATCTTATAGAAACCACGGTATCAGGTGTGATCTTATAGAAACCTTGGCATCAGGTGTGATCTTATAGCAAACCACGGTGTCAGGTAATATCTTATAGAAAACTACAATATCAGGTGTGTTCTTATAAAAATTTTGGTATCAGGTGTGATCTTATTGAAAACCACGGTGTCAGGTGTGATCTTATAAAAACCAAGGTATCAGGTGTAATCTTATAGAAAACAAGGAATCAGGTGTGATCATATAGAAACCTTGGTATCAGGTGTGATCTTATAGAAACTATGGTATCACGGTATCAGTTGTGATCTTATAAAAAAAAGGTATCAGGTGTTATCTTATAGAAACCTTGGTATCAGGTGTGATCTTATAGAAAACACGATATCAGGTGTGATCTTATAGAAAACCACAGTATCCGGTGTGATCTTAAAGAAATCTTGGTATCAGGTGTGATCTTAAAGAAACAATGGTATCAGGTGTGATCTTATAGCAAACCATGGTATCAGGTGTGATCTTATAGAAACCACGGTATCAGGTGTGATCTTATAGAAACATTGGCATCAGGTGTGAATTTATAGAAACCTCGGTATCAGGTGTTATCTAATAGAAACCTTGGTATCTGGTGTGTTCTTATAAAAATTTTGGTATCAGGTGTGATCTTATTGAAAACCACGGTGTCAGGTGTGATCTTATAGAAACCAAGGTAACAGGTGTAATCTTATAGAAAACAAGGGTTCAGGTGTGATCTTATAAAAAAACCTTGGTATCAGGTGTGATCTTATAGAAACCTAGGTATCAGTTGTGATCTTATAGAAACCGCGGTATCAGGTGTGATCTTATAGAAACCTTTGTATCAGTTGTGATCTTATAGAAACCATGGTTTCTGTATCAGTTGTGATCTTATAGAAACCATGGTTTCAGGTGTGATCTTATAGAAAAAACCATGGTTTCGGGTGTGATCTTATAGAAACCTTTGTTTCAGGTGTGATCTTACAGAAATCACGGTATCAGGTTTGATCTTATAGAAACCACGGTATCAGTTGTGATCTTATAGAAACCACGGTTATTTTAGGGGTGTTCTTAATAGAAACCTTAGGTATCAGGTGTTATGATCTTTATAGTAAACCACTGTAATCATGTGTTGATTCTTATAAACCACAGTACAGGTGTTGATGTTATATAAACCATGGTTATCAGGAGTGAATCTTTATAGCAAACAAGGTATCAAGGTGCTAATTCTTATTGAAAACCACGGTTTCAGGCGTGATCTTATAGTAAACCAAGGTATTAGGTGTGATATTTTGGAACCGCATATCGGGTGTATTCTTATAAAAACCACCGTATCATGTGTGATTTTAAAGAAACCGCCGTATCAGGTGTGATCTTATAGAAAACCACGGTATCGGGTATGATCTTATAGAAAACCACGGTATCAGGTGTAATCTTATAGCAAACATGGTATCAGGCGTGATCTTATAGAAACCATGGTATCAGGTGTGATCCTATAGAAACCATTGTATCAGGTGTGATCTTATAGAAACCATGGTATCAGGTGTGATCTTATAGAAATTATGGTATCAGGTGTGATCTTATAGAAACCACGGTATCAGGTGTGATCTTATAGAAAATCATGGTATCGGGTGTGATCTTATAGTAAACCACGGTATCAGGTGTGATCTTATAGAAACCACGGTATCAGGTGTGATCTTATAGAAACCTTGGTATCAGTTGTGATCTTATTTAAACCACAGTATCAGGTGTAAACTAATAGAAAACCACGGTATCAGGTGAGATCTTACAGCAAACCACGGTATCAGGTGTTATCTTATAGAAAACACGGTATCAGGTATGATCTTATAGAAAACCACGGTATTAGGTATGATCTTATAGAAACTATGGTATCAGGTGTGATCTTATAGAAACCATGGTATCAGGTGTGATCTTATAGAAACCACCTGGTGATACTAGTACAATGGTTAAATGTTTTATATTTAATATTATATACTTTATAATTTAATTACTTTCATTAAGTTAACATCACACTGTTTACCGGCAAAGAAGAGTGGACGTAAAGAATATACTATGTTCACTTACCTGCGTGTAAAACCAGTTGTATAATTGGAACATGTTGCCCATGGCCCCCACTCTGACCATACACTATCAACTAAAACAACACTGAACAAGTAAATATTTATCAGACTATCTAATTCCAATGTTATCCTTGAATATATTCTACAAAAACCGCCTCGCGTTCAAATATAAACTGATAAGGTCAAGAGTTTTGAAATGATAAATATGCTCATGAATTTAAGTGAAAATATATTTTTATGGTTTATCGTTGATTACAATGAGTTACGTGTTACTCACGAACTGATTAAATCATAAAGATTTCTTTTTTATAATTTTGTGCAACGTTTATTTTGTTGAAATTCATTGTTATCATATATGTGACAGGGACTTTGGATTCTTTCATGACTTGTGATGACGCTCTCCAGCTAGCTTTCGGAACGTCGGTGGTTCTACTCAGGTGCCTGTTCGTATAATTGGTTAATTTTGCGACGGGGAAATATTTGCGATTTTTATTTGTTTGGGTTGTCAGACCAAACAAATAATGGTAGCGAAATTTAATTGCAAATGCCTAAAGTAGTACACTTTTTTGAAGCGGTTACTTCCCTTTATGATACACTTACACCGAAAAATTCAGGGGAGATCAATGCGTAAAGATTGTCAAATGACAGGCGCATCAATTTTCAAGCTAAGAAGTTCCCGAATGGTCGATGATTTCTAATATTGTTTCATTCTGTATAGATATACATGCTTACAGTAAGCTCCTTGATTATTTACATCTGTGTTAAACAACAGGTTTAGCGTCGAAATAATAGTTACAAACCCTTATTTGAAATAATATGGTTTTCTTCATGCCGTAACATTTAACTTCACCGTGGCCGAGGGGTCTGCACGCCGAAAGGTCTAGAGTTCAAATCCCAGTTGAGGTAACTCATTTTTTAAATTTTTAAGTCAAATAAACATTGAATTGACTATCAGTGTTGCAATTACTCTTATAGCCAATTTACTACAGTTAATACACTGAAGAGCTTGGTTGGCACTATACAAAAACAAATTGGTTTAAAATCTCACAACCTTCACCTTACAGACATCAAATTAAGCGCCTTCTGTGCTTTGATTGTGAATTGAAATTATTCGCAAATATTTGATCGCGCAAAAATAATTTTTCTTTTTAGGCAAACTTCCTTCTATCGTTTGAAAACACGTTTTCATACAGCATTTTAAATTAATACGTTTGATAGTTCAGGAAATTAATTTTTCTCATTGTTCATGTTTACGTCGTTTGGTCTTAACAAATCATTTATGTTTTAATGAAAAAAAAAAGCTTATGTGATGATAACATAAAAAGTTATTCATATAACAAAAAAATGATTTTTAATATGACAAATAAATGTGTGATCAGGCTATTAATCAAACCAACAATGTATATACATGTATTTCAAATAATTATATAAATTATAAAGCTATTGAACAACTGAATAGAACGACTACAATAACGGCATATTCTTTACATGTACCTACTTAATTAATGATATCGCAAAAACAGTATTAAATTTTTAAAAAAATCATATTTTCGCAAATATTTCCTCACGCAAAAGTCATTTTTTTACATTCATATATTTTTTGGACGCATAAATATCCACTAGTAATGCACGGACGGGCACCTGGGGTCTTTCTAAGAACGTCTCCATATGACCGCGTGGTGTAAACCCACTCAAACAAAGTTGTCAAATATGCAATTAAATTTACATTAACATACCTTTACAATATTTGAAACAAGAGTCTAATTCTGTGTCGAATCCGCTACAGTCTTCAGGTGCTGTGCTGTGCAGACACACTCGTTTTCTCTTGCGAACTCCAGCCAACCCGCACTGTGTCGCCAAACATTCGTCCCATGGAAACCATGACCCCCAAGTAGGGTTGAACACTGTTGAAATGAATGTACAAAATGTATATATTCTGATAGTTTTACAAATTAAATGAGGTCTAAGTTATAAGTTTATCCTTATTTATTAAACGTTTCTAGTATAATTATATAAGTTTACATACAAAATATAATGAAAATAAACGAGATAAGAACAAAAAAAGAACAACGTAAAAACCTGTTTGGTCTGTACACGTTTCAGTACAATGTTCAAATTGTAAAGGTTCACCAATACATTGTTCCTGTGTTAGTTTTGGTAGACATTCTCTATGTCGTGATCGGAACCCAGATACGTTACACGAGGCTACCTGGCAGTCTTCCCACGTGCTCCAAGATCCCCAGTATGTATCTGAAACTAAATACAAACATTCACATATGAGCCGCGTCATGACAAAACCAATATAATGGGTTTGCGACAAGCATGGATCCAGACCAGCCTGCGCATCCGCACAGTCTGATCAGGATCCATGCTGTTCGCTTACCTACACTTATAGAAAGCTATTTGCATCAGTTAAAATTTCAAGAGGTGAACATTTAGTAAAGAATTCAAACATATAAGTTTAAATTTGTTCCTAAATTCTTCAATACTTACTTAAGAAACGTTTTTCGTATGCGTATCCATGTGTTGTACCTGGTAATAAGGTGTCAGCATCATTATCTATTTTTTTTCCTAAAACATAAAGAACATTTCTCTTATCAAGTAGTCATGCTAACTGATATAAAGAGAGAGTTAATTAAACATATACTTACAATAATCTAAACATTTGCAAATATGATTTTATTTTATATAAATACTTTAATTAGATGATTCTGGTTATCACTATATTAAATATGTTCACCCAGGTAATGGACCAACAATGTTAAATATGTACACCCAGGAAATGGATCAACAATGTTAAATATGTACACCCAGGAAATGGATCAACAATGTTAAATATGTACGCCCAAGAAATGGATCAACAATGTTAAATATGTACGCCCAAGTAATGAACCAACAATGTTAAATATATTCGCCCAAGTAATGAACCAACAATGTTAAATATGTACACCCAGGTAATGAAGCAACAATGTTAAATATATACGCTCAAGTAATGAACCAACAATGTTGAATATGTACACCTAGGTAATGGATCAACAATGTTAAATATGTTCGCCCAGGTAATGAACCAACAATATTAAATATGTACACCCAGGTAATGGATCAACAATGTTAAATATGTACACCCAGGTAATGAACCAACAATGTTAAATATGTACGCCAAGGTAATGAACCAACAATGTTAAATAAGTACCCCAGGTAATGGATCAACAATGTTAAATATGTACACCCAGGTAATGAACCAACAATGTTAAATATGTACACCCAGGTAATGGATCAACAATGTTAAATATGTACAACCAGGTTATGAACCAACAATGTTAAATATGTACGCCAAGGTAATGAACCAACAATGTTAAATATGTACGCCCAAGTAATGGATCAACAATGTTAAATATGTTCGCCCAGGTAATGAACCAACAATATTATATGTACACCCAGGTAATAGATCAACAATGTTAAATATGTACGCCCAGGTAATGAACCAACAATGTTAAATATGTACGCCCAGGTAATGAACCAACAATGTTAAATATATTCACCCAGGTAATGAACCAACAATGTCAAATATGTACACCCAGGTAATGGATCAACAATGTTGAATATGTACACCCAATTAATGAACCAACAATGTTGAATATGTACGCCCAAGTAATGAACCAACAATGTTAAATATGTACACCCAGGTAATGAAGCAACAATGTTAAATATGTACACCCAGGTAACTGATCAACAATGTTAAATATGTACGCCCCAGGTAATGAACCAAAAATGTTAAATATGTACACCCAGGTAATTGATCAACAATGTTAAATATGTACGCCCAAGTAATGAACCAACAATGTTGAATATGTACGCCCAAGCAATGAACCAACAATGTTAAATATGTACGCCCAGGTAATGAACCAACAATGTTAAATATGTACACCCAGGTAATGGATCAACAATGTTAAATATGTACGCCCAAGTAATGAACCAACAATGTTGAATATGTACGCCCAAGTAATGAACCAACAATGTTAGATATGTACACCCAGGTAATGGATCAACAATGTTAAATATGTACGCCAAGTAATGAACAAAAAATGTTGAATATGTACGCCCAAGTAATGAACCAACAAAAGTTAAATATGTACGCCCGGACAATGAAACCAACAATGTTAAATATGTACACCCAGGTAATGAACCAACAATGTTAAATATGTACGCCCAAGTAATGAACCAACAATGTTGAATATGTACACCCAGGTAATGAAGCAACAATGTTAAATATGTACACCCAGGTAATGAAGCAACAATGTTAATTATGTACGCCCTAGTAATGAACCAACAATGTTGAATATATACACCCAAGTAATGAACCAACAATGTTAAATATGTACACCCAGGAAATGGATCAACAATGTTAAATATGTACACCCAGGAAATAGATCAACAATGTTAAATATGTACGCCCAAGAAATGGATCAACAATATTAAATATGTACGCCCAAGCAATGAACCAACAATGTTAAATATATTCGCCCAAGTAATGAACCAACAATGTTAAATATGTACACCCAGGTAATGAAGCAACAATGTTAGATATATACGCTCAAGTAATGAACCAACAATGTTGAATATGTACACTTAGGTAATGGATCAACAATGTTAAATATGTACGCCCAAGTAATGGATCAACAATGTTAAATATGTTCGCCCAGGTAATGAAACAACAATGTTAAATATGTACACCCAGGTAATTGATCAACAATGTTAAATATGTACGCCCAGGTAATGAACCAAAAATGTTAAATATGTACACCCAGGTAATTGATCAACAATGTTAAATATGTACGCCCAAGTAATGAACCAACAATGTTGAATATGTACGCCCAAGTAATGAACCAACAATGTTAAATATGTACACCCAGGTAATGAACCAACAATGTTAAATATGTACGCCCAAGTAATGAACCAACAATGTTGAATATGTACACCCAGGTAATGAAGCAACAATGTTAAATATGTACACCCAGGTAATGAAGCAACAATGTTAATTATGTACGCCCTAGTAATGAACCAACAATGTTGAATATATACACCCAAGTAATGAACCAACAATGTTAAATATGTACGCCCGGACAATGAATCAACAATGTTAAATATGTTCACCCAGGTAATGAACCAACAATGTTAAATATGTACAATCAGGTAATAGATCAACAATGTTAAATATATACGCCCAAATAATGGACCAACAATGTTTAATATGCACACCCAAGTAATGAACCAACAATGTTAAATATGTACAACCAGGTAATGAACCAACAATGTTAAATATGTGCGCCAAGGTAATGAACCATCAATGTTAAATATGTAAACCCAAGTAATGAACCAACAATGTTAAATATGTACAATCAGGTAATGAACCAACAATGTTAAATATGTGCGCCAAGGTAATGAACCAACAATGTTAAATATGTAAGCCCAGGTAATGAACCAACGATGTTAAATATGTACGCCCAGTTAATGAGATAGATAAATCCATATACGAGTAGTTAGATATGGAATTCTATATACGATTAGTGAGATAGATAATTCTATATACGATTAGTGAGACACAAAATTATGTAATACACGTGGATGTTTTGACGATTCATATACACGTAAAAAAGAGGTAGATAATTTTAGACTATGTCTGCGATAGATAATGTTATTTTAGCACTAATTGATATTTTCGTAATAAACGTAAAGGCCCGGACACACCGCAAACACTTTGCAGGAGCGTTCCTTGAGCGATGAAAAGAATTTATCACCGCTCGTTACCGTACACCAGAAGTTGGTCTCCGTTAAGGCAACGCCGTATACGCTAGCTGCGAGCGGTGAGGAGCGCGAAATTTTCCGTTCCGGCAAAGTTCACCACCGCTCCAACAACGCCAGTCAAAGTTTAGTACCGCTAGACGCAAGTTCATGGACGCTTGAGTCCGATAGGCTAACGCAGAAATCTTAAATGCTAGACCACCGATGCTTCGCCAGCTTTACCCGAGCGGCGTTTAAACGTTGCACAAACTATAGTGGAGCGGTTGTAAACGTTTTATGAGCGGCCACGGGATTGCTGAAACGGTGTTGGGCGTTGAAGCAGCGATCCATTGCGGTGATGAACTTCGGTTTGGCGTTGTTATAGAGGTGTCAGAGCGGGACCAGAATGTAGCTATAATTAAGGAAGAGGGGGGGGGGATGAACCAAGAGCCCATATGGAATCGAGCTGCCGTTGAGGGCAGAACTCATTTACATCGAATTTGCTCAAAGTTACAGTAAAACTTTACTTCCATGAATGCTGAGAGACTTGCTATGATTGGTGCACTAGTCCAGCAGCAGAATCAGAACCTCCTCAGATTGCAACAAGCTGTTGAGAGAAGAAGGAGAGACAGAGTTGTGTGAGTCAGACAGTGGATACTGAGATTTCATGGACTGTATGACAAGTTGATGGTGGAGCTGAGGAATGATCAAAGCGATCTGTTCAGCTCCGTAGTCTAAAGCGGTTTGCCGCTAAACCAACTTTAAACCCCCGCCAAGCCAACGCCGGCGTGCGCAGAACGCCGCTCTATCAACGCAACGCGTCACCGTAAACCAACGCTCGCTACCGTTAAGCCAACGCTATTGCAACGCCAGCTTCAGCGGCGCACCGCTAAGGCAACGCCCGTGTTTTCGATTTTTCCCTATTTTGTGTGCGGTGACGAGCGTTGTCGAAATTCGGTTCGGTGCCCTCTTCAAAAACTTCTAAAGTTCTTGCGGAGTGACCGGGTCATTAATAATTCTTTTTGAACATTAGAGGTAGCTAAAAACTGATTTGTAAAGTTACCTACCGGTTTCACTAAATGCTGAGTCATCACAAGCTTGTAGATTTTCCAATGGTAAGCATAACTGTAAAATGCCAAATAAAAACACAACAAAAACAATATTGTTTTACTTTCACCATATTTTATTTTACAAAAGGGACGAATAATAAGAAAGAGGGCTAGAGGAAAAATATGTGTTTGACATATCTGTTAAAACACTGCTCTGTTCTTCATCGCTCTTTTTTGCGACGGACGTGCCCTCAGGCGCGTTCAGAGCTATGTCATCTACACATGGGATTTCGTCGGCTACAATCGCGCAAGTGTCCTCAACCGAATAACAGCCCAAGAAATAGTACATGAATTTGATCCTATGAAACTCCCATACTTTGTCGGGATATATTAAAAACTTCCATTTTTAGCCTTTTCAATTTCAAATTAAGTTATCCAAATTAAAATATAAACGTATTTGATTGATAAAAACGCTGTAGCCCCGTAGTATTATTGCGCAATTATGCAAATAACTGCTGAAACGATTTACCGCTGTCGAAAAGGTAGGGCAGCAAATTATGCTATAATTAAGGAGTAAGCTCAATAACTCATAGAAATTATAAGTAGGAAATAAATATTTCTCCATTAAACAAAACATTTTTATTAACAGATCAAAAGTTGTTCGTGACTTTAGAACAACTCGCGCATTAATAAAAGAAGAACTCTTTTCGTGACTCATACCGCGGGTTTAGCTGAATATCCAGCAGTTATTAATAAATTAGACTAGTATTATAAATATCTATTTTTGAAAATGCATGTAACAAAGGAGTTTTCAACACTTTACCACCATGTAGTCTTTCATATCAGTTCTACTTCCGATTCTTGTGTTTTGTTTACATAATTTTCTAGGTCACGGTATGAGTTAACCTGCTATGAGATTATAATAGCCTTCGACCTGAAGATAACACTATTCTAAAAATAGATTCTGCATCACATGTGCTAACTTTCGGACAAGCGATTAGGGAATACACATTATACATGTAATAAACCAGCGGATACTTACTTTGTTTACATGCAATATTTTAAGAAATTCTATACAATTGTAAGAAGCAAACAAGTTGAAAATGGAATTTAGTGTGAAATTGAAAGGGACAACTAAACACTGTAGTGCTTAAAAGTGACATTTAAATTAAAATAAAAACGATGTGCTCTGGCCTCTATATCTTAACCTTGTAAATGAAAAAAAAATACACCATTAATTGCTGATGATTTTAACCAAAAATATTTTTAATGAGACATATCCAAGAGAAATAAAAATAAAAATACAAATGACTTATATTTTATTGTCTATATGCCCACTATGACATAACACGAAGCAATTCTAATTAACATTCTCACATGTATTATGTATTATGCTTGAAGTTTATTTGCATGGTTTTATTTTAGAAATATTTCGTTGAAAGTTTTTTTTTCTATTTACATATCATTTCTTGGAATAAATCGATAAGGACACTGATTTACAAGTTTGACCAGAGTTTTTAGGCATAAATTTCATTCTGTATTTAAAAATTTGGACTTGTTCTGCTTGAAAGTAAAAAATCTGAATTATGTCAGATTGGGGCACATAAAATATAATGCTCTACAAATCTCGAACTTGTATGGAACAAATTTTCTCTGTTATATCTTTTGTGTTTTTTTTTTCTAAAAAATGGCTTAATGTCTCTCCGGTTGCATTTTCCTAGCATTCAGTGCTGCAGCACTTTGATTATTTTATGCCGTACAAGCATTAATACGGATTTGTTGCTTGAAAGATTTGTTGTTGTCTGTGCTATCTTAATAAGTTTTTGCTGCTTTAATTGCAGAACATATATGATAAAAATTTGTGCTGAATTTTGATCCCAATGATGAATATATATATAATTTGTGCTAATAAAAAGATAAATAACTTGTGCAGATAAATAATTGTGCTTTTTAATGATTTGTGCTGATCTTTTAGACTTTGTAGTATTTATGTCTGTAAATCAACAGTATTAGACTTTGAAGTATTCATGTCTGTAAATCAACAGTATTAGACTTTGTAGTATTTATGTCTGTAAATCAACAGAATTAGACTTTGTAATATTTATGTCTGTAAATCAACAGTATTAGACTTTGTAGTAATTATGTCTGTAAATCAACAGTATTAGACCATGAAGTATTCATTTCTGTAAATCAACAGTATTAGACCATGAAGTATTCATTTCTGTAAATCAACAGTATTACACTTTGTAGTATTCATGTCTGTAAATCAACAGTTTTAAACGTGGAAATATTTATGTCTGTTAATCAACAGTATTAGACGTTGTAGCATTTATGTCCGTAAATCAACAATATTAGAGTTTGCAGTATTTATGTCTGTTTATTAACAGTATTAGACGTAGTAGTATTTATGTCTGTTAATCACCAGTATTCGACTTTGTAGTATTTATGTCTGTAAAACAACATTATCAGACTTTGTAGAATTTATGTCTGTAGATCAACAGTATTCGACTTTGTAGTATTTATGTCTGTTAATCAACAGTATTCGACTTTGTAATATTTATTTTATTTATGTCTGTAAATCAACATCATTAGACTTTGTAGTATTTATGTTTGTAAGTCAACAATATAACACGTTGTAGCATTTATGTCTGTTAATCAACAGTATTAGACTTTGTAGCATTTATGTCTGATAATCAACAGTATTAGACTTTGTACTATTTATGTCTGTTAATTATCAATATTAGACTTTGTAGTATAAATTTTTGTTTGTTTATTAACAATAATAGACTTTGTAATATTTATGTCTGTTAATCAACGGTATTAGACTTTGTAGTATTTATGTCTGTTCGTCAACAGTATTAGACTTTGTAGTATTTATGTCTGTTAATCAACAGTATTAGATTTTGAAGTATTTATGTCTGTTCGTCAACAGTATTAGACTTTGTAATATTTATGTCTGTTAATCAACGGTATTAGACTTTGTAGTATTTATGTCTGTTCGTCAACAGTATTAGACTTTGTAGTATTTATGTCTGTTAATCAACAGTATAAGACTTTGTAGTATTTATGTCTGTTAATCAACAGTATTAGACTTTGAAGTATTTATGTCTGTTCGTCAACAGTATTAGACTTTGTAGTATTTATGTCTGTTAATCAACAGTATTAGACTTTGTAGTATTTATGTCTGTTCGTCAACAGTATTAGACTTTGTAGTATTTATGTCTGTTAATCAACAGTATTAGACTTTGTAGTATTTATGTCTGTTAATCAACAGTATTAGACTTTGTAGTATTTATGTCTGTTAATCAACAGTATAAGACTTTGTAGTATTTATGTCTGTTAATCAACGGTATTAGACTTTGTAGTATTTATGTCTGTTCGTCAACAGTATTAGACTTTGTAGTATTTATGTCTGTTAATCAACAGTATTAGACTTTGTAGTATTTATGTCTGTTAATCAACAGTATTAGACTTTGTAGTATTTATGTCTGTTCGTCAACAGTATTAGACTTTGTAGTATTTATGTCTGTTCGTCAACAGTATAAGACTTTGTAGTATTTATGTCTGTTCGTCAACAGTATTAGACTTTGTAGTATTTATGTCTGTTAATCAACAGTATTAGACTTTGAAGTATTTTATGTCTGTTCGTCAACAGTATTAGACTTTGTAGTATTTATGTCTGTTAATCAACAGTATTAGACTTTGTAGTATTTATGTCTGTTCGTCAACAGTATTAGACTTTGTAGTATTTATGTCTGTTCGTCAACAGTATTAGACTTTGTAGTATTTATGTCTGTTAATCAACAGTATTAGACTTTGTAGTATTTATGTCTGTTCGTCAACAGTATTAGACTTTGTAGTATTTATGTCTGTTCGTCAACAGTATTAGACTTTGAAGTATTTATGTCTGTTCGTCAACAGTATTAGACTTTGTAGTATTCATGTCTGTAAATCAACAGTATTAGACTTTGTAGTATTTATGTCTGTTAATCAACAGTATTAGACTTTGTAGTATTTATGTCTGTTAATCAACAGTATTAGACTTTGTAGTATTTATGTCTGTTAATCAACAGTATAAGACTTTGTAGTATTTATGTCTGTTAATCAACGGTATTAGACTTTGTAGTATTTATGTCTGTTCGTCAACAGTATTAGACTTTGTAGTATTTATGTCTGTTAATCAACAGTATTAGACTTTGTAGTATTTATGTCTGTTAATCAACAGTATTAGACTTTGTAGTATTTATGTCTGTTAATCAACAGTATTAGACTTTGTAGTATTTATGTCTGTTCGTCAACAGTATAAGACTTTGTAGTATTTATGTCTGTTCGTCAACAGTATTAGACTTTGTAGTATTTATGTCTGTTAATCAACGGTATTAGACTTTGTAGTATTTATGTCTGTTCGTCAACAGTATTAGACTTTGTAGTATTTATGTCTGTTAATCAACAGTATTAGACTTTGTAGTATTTATGTCTGTTCGTCAACAGTATTAGACTTTGTAGTATTTATGTCTGTTCGTCAACAGTATTAGACTTTGTAGTATTTATGTCTGTTAATCAACGGTATTAGACTTTGTAGTATTTATGTCTGTTCGTCAACAGTATTAGACTTTGTAGTATTTATGTCTGTTAATCAACAGTATTAGACTTTGTAGTATTTATGTCTGTTCGTCAACAGTATTAGACTTTGTAGTATTTATGTCTGTTAATCAACAGTATAAGACTTTGTAGTATTTATGTCTGTTCGTCAACAGTATTAGACTTTGTAGTATTTATGTCTGTTAATCAACAGTATTAGACTTTGTAGTATTTATGTCTGTTCGTCAACAGTATTAGACTTTGTAGTATTTATGTCTGTTCGTCAACAGTATTAGACTTTGTAGTATTTATGTCTGTTAATCAACAGTATAAGACTTTGTAGTATTTATGTCTGTTCGTCAACAGTATTAGACTTTGTAGTATTTATGTCTGTTAATCAACAGTATTAGACTTTGTAGTATTTATGTCTGTTCGTCAACAGTATAAGACTTTGTAGTATTTATGTCTGTTCGTCAACAGTATTAGACTTTGTAG